AAAAAAAAAAAAAAAAACATCTATACTATGAGCTTCGAGACCTCCTCATTTTGAGTAACTGGTAACGCTTAGTTCCAGCGTTCTTTTATTAATCATTTAATTAACTAGCAGTGATGAACATCAAGAAATAACAACTGGCTCGCAACATCCAGGTTTGAGCGTTGGACTGCCAGAGTGTGTTCTAAATTAATATGAAACAATGTATACCGTTATGGCTTTTAACATGATCCTGAGGTACTAAACAATTGATTTACAAAAAAGACTCACCTTCAAATAGTGATAAAGAAGTAAGAACTCATGAAAATGGCTATAGCAAATTAAACCTTAACTACTGTTATCACTGACAGATGTGAACAATGGCCCATTGACTACAATTTTCCTTAAAAATAGGGTTTATCCCGTCGGTTCTTAATTATCTAATGGAGGTTTCAATCACTTAAACATCCAAGGAATCCATTACTGAATTCCATTTAGAAAAAAAATCATCGATTGACTCGATATTTTCTTCTGGAAAGTGGCTACCAATTCCTTAAGGGAAAATACATTGTAAAAGATGAAAAGACCAGGTTTGTCATGAGATGTGATGTAACGAGTGTACCAGGTCTGTCCCCGCATAAAAGTGACCTTTTTAATACAGCAGTTCCAAAAACTGCTTTTTTAGTGTTTAAGAGGTCATTTCAAGCTTTGTTAGTATCGGTCTTCTTGTTAAATTTGCCATTAGAATCATTTATCAATTGGCCAGTCCCCACACCTTGCAACATGCCCATTGTAAATGATTTGGACAAAGATCTTACTTACAAGCTAAGAATTTTACTTGCCGGCTGCAGACAGCATTTACATGCCTGTTTCAGATTGCTCAAAAGATGAACCAATGCTGAACCATTATTATTTTCTGAGTCAGCCTTTGTAATAGGGCCTGTTTCAGATAACTAGAGAGGTGCGTTGTCGAAGTAAACTTTCCATTTGCGTTGGGTGCTCAGCGCTAACGGATAGCACAAGACAATTGACTTACCTGTTGGGAAACGCGTTGTTGGTTGTCTCTGTTGACCAAAAACTGTTGTGTTTTGAGGGCTTTTTTTTATCGCGGATCAGGGTGGATCTCAGTGGAACGCACTGGATCGGAATCCTGAGCGATCCAAATGTTCCAAGTGATAAAAAAATCCAAACTTGGAATTTGGTTCGATTTGTTATTTTTTTGATTTTTTGGGGACGGCAACTTCCTCGCGTTACGTTAGGATCACAGTGGATCGCGAGCTCGCCCCACCTCGGAAGAGCGATCCAACGTTCCACCCTGATCCACCTGGAACGCTTGGATCACGCTGAGGAACGGAATAAAAAAATACCTCTGTTCATCGCCATCCACTGCGATCCGCATAAAAAAAAAAGCCCTTTGGGTGCACAATTACATTTAGAGGTTAGCTCAACGCTCTTAACTACCTCCTGAGACCGATGACTTGTTGCCTTCCATTTGGCAAACAGTCCAGGACATTGGATAATCCAAACGGAGTCGAACAACGCCGAGCGTTTGGAATCAGGTAATTCCGTTGCCCAATGGTCCTAAACAGTTTACTTCGACAACGCAGCTTTTGGCTTTTTTGCTATACTTAGATGCTGTGTGCTACTTGTAGGATACAGAATTCCTTGAGGCCATGGTTATCTAAAACAAGCCCAAACAAGTATATACTCTAGGAAATTTTGATGATGAAAATAGGAGTGAAAGAAGAATTGTTGTACCTTGAATATCTTCCCAGAGAATTGCAGCAGACTTGTGATGAGAGATTCGGATTTAGGATTCATCTGCAGTTGGAAGCCAAAATGCCATATTCGTGCAAGCAGATGCCAACATCATGTACTTAGGACTAAACTGAACACACTGTACAGGGCCAGGATGATCGCCGTTGAGCACACACACTTTGTAACCAGTATTAGCATTCCATACATGAATTCTACCATCTGTGGACCCACTGAAAATAAACTGGGAATCGGGACTGAATGATGCTTCGATTGGAATACCTTTATTATTTAAATGACCCGTGAATGTCTGTAGGGGTGTACCTTGAAATGCATCTATTAGCCTAATAATGGAGCCATTCGTAGATATTAAAATGGTTTTCCCATTTTGACTAAACTTCAGCCCCGTCCAGTCACATTCTTTTTCTTGATTAAGTTTAAACGTAAGGAAGGGTCCTTTATCAAAGGATCGGAGATCATACAGTTTTATACTCTCAGAATTAACACCAGCCGCAATGATGAGTCCTTCAGGATCATAGGCTGCTACAGGACGACCGGATAAATGCATTAAACCGTGACAGTTAGGAGACCGCAGATCCCACAAACGTAACGTTTTGTCGAGAGAACCAGACAAAAATGAATCCTCTATTGGTGATATACAAATCGTGACCACTTTCTTGGAGTGACCAGGGAAGTAACGAATGTATTTGTTATCATGAAGAGATAAATATCTAATTGTATCGTCGATTTTGGTAGAGCTGTGAATGGCTGTGTTCTTTGCATGGGTGAAGTGAATCAGATCCACACCATACTTTTTGCTGTTTACCGTTCGCATTTGGGTTCCTTTTTCACAGTCATAAATAACAATTTGATCATCTTCACTGCACGATATTAAAGTATCTCCACTGGCAGAAAAGTCTATGTTATTTATCTTATCCGTATTTTCGCGGAATACCTTCGCAACCTTAAAGCTGCGGACGACATTATCCACCAACTTCATGGCGAGAAGTTGGAATGATGATGTACTGCTAATTTAAGCACTGGTCACGCAAATTGATAGAACACTTCCACCGCGATTTTAGATTTCTTGTAGCGGCCGAAATCTCAAATTTTGGAGGCACCTCTACACTTCCATCCATAAGAACCGTGGCGCGTGATGCCGTGATGCGTAACGATGTTTACTTGCTGCAGACATTATTGGACGACCATTACCATTGCACAGAAACAGAATTTATATAGGCACAGATTAGTCTATATAGGCTTCACCAACAGAAGGTTCCTCCTAAGAGTACCTGTAGAGTACCTATATTGAGAGAGTATGGCCACTGGGTCCAGAGACAAACTGGGTCCCATGGAGAGGCTTAGGACCCAAAAATGGCGGTGCTTTGTTTTGGTTTTT